TTCTTGTGGTAACAGTCGGACTGCCCTTATTGTTTTGTATTTTTCCTGTAGGTCCTTCTTTCAAGAGGTATCTTCTGGTTTTCTAGCTGCTCCTGGCTGGTCTGCTTGAGATGACACAATCTTGATTACTGAAAGTGAAGAGGACTTGAAGTACTTACTGTTGAAGATCAAAGACTACAGCCTCCCGTATGGATTACAACAAAAAGCCTCACAATTAGACCAATTAAAACAACATGAAATGGAGAAAAGATTGAAATTGTACAAGAGTCTATTTTACTTGGATTCACAATCAATGCTCATGGAAACAGCAGTCAGGAAATCAAATGATGCATTACACTGGGCAAATCTGCTGCAAAAAAACATTTTCAGTGTTAAGAGCAAAATGCTACTGTGAGGACTAAGATGAGCATGATCCAAGCCACGGTATTTTCAAATGTCTCATATGCATGTGAGAACTAAACAACAAATAAGGAAGACTGGAGAAGAATTGATGCATTTGAATTATGGTATTGGTGAAAAATATTAAAGTACTATTGATTGCCAGAAGAACAGACAAATATGCTCTAAAAGAAGTACAGCCAGAATGCTTCTTAGAAGAGAGGATGGCGAGATTTCATGTTACGCACTTTGGATATGTTGTCAGGAGGGATCAGTCATCGGAAAAGGACATCACGCTTGGTAAAGTAGTTGTTGTTAAGTGCAGTCGAGTTGGCATAGGATTTCCGAGGAGCTGGTGGCTTTGAATTGCTGACCTTGTGGTTCGGAAGGCCAGCACTGATGTTACAGTGCCTCCAGGAGTTAGAGGTTTATTGAAAAAGAGGAAGACCCCCACTGAGATGGATTAACACAAGTGGCAGCAAAAATGGGCTCACACATAGCAATTGTGAGGATGTCACATGACTGGACAGTATTTTGCTTTGTTGTGCTTATGGTCGCTCTGACTTGGAGCAGACTCAATGGCTCTGAACATCAACATTCAAGATGCAGGTTCCTGTTTATCCTGGAGTGGAAGCAGGAGAAGTTATGGCCCTTGGCAGCCTTGGCCTACTCCAGCTGGGGTCTGCTGTGCTGCTGTCTCTGGTGATGGGAAAGGCAGAGCCAAGCTACTCTACCTACTGTTCCTCAGAGAATTCTTTCAGCATATCAAGGCCCCTGAGTCCATGTGCCCACAGCCTATGAGGGAGGAGAAACAGGCTTCTTCAGATGGGCTGCTCCTTCAGCAACACGGTCCCTGAGATTGTGAGGAGCTTTGGAGTGGAAAGCTCCTGAGCAGTTTCCTGAGGAGCTGAGGCCTCTGCCAAGTCTCTCATCCTCTTCTCTCCCATCCCCAGCGACCCCTGGCCACCACCTTGTGACCTCTAGTCCAGCTCAGGGTTCAGGCAGAGGGCGGGCCTAGGGTTCTTCATGGGCAGAAAAGCTAACAAGATTTCATCACCTGGACCCCCATGCTGACCACAAAGGCCATTTCCTAGCTTAGGCAGAGAAGCCTTTGGGGCTTCCGAGGGCCAGCATTTCCTACTTTCCTCAGCCAGTTTTCAACACAAAGAGAGGAAGGGGTGGGACCAAGGGGGCCTGAAGCCAGGGGGTGGGCAGCTGCAAGGGAGGGGTGGGGATTGGAGCAGATTGAGTGATTGTGCCGGGCCTGGTGGGGGCCCTTCCCCCTATTATGGTTAGCATTGCATTCCTGGGGGCCCAAGCCAGGATTGAATAGACTTGGCCAAGAAGGTGGACGTGGGTCCAAGGCAGGCCACCTGGCTCACCAATTATGCTCAGGCCTGAGGGGTTCTGCAGTCCCCTGGCAAGGTCTGGAGTGGGACTTTTAGCTTCTTCAAAGATGAGGGGCAAGTCTTGGGTGCCCCCTCACCCACCGAGCAGAGTGCATGGCAAGGGGAAGTCTCAGAACCCAAGGTGGCACTGCTCCCATCTCTCTTTTGTGCCTAGCTCTGGGCTCCTGTCCAGGCTGGTGGGTCTTCAAGCTTCCCAGAATCCAGTCAGATGGGTGGGAGGTTGGGTGACCTGACCTAGTTTTTCCCACCCCTCCTAATGGGGAAGAGTGTGTGGGAAACTGGATTGCCTCAGTTGATGGCAAAAATTCTATTCCTTCCCTGCCAACCGCATGTCCCCCAGTCTTACCCTCCTCTGGTCAGCTGAGGGTGCTCTGCTCCTCACAGGACCTTATTTCCAAAGGCTACTGAGAAGGTGCCCTGCAGTACCATGAATAATTTAATGTCTCCTGTAGCAGTAAGTTTTTGTAAACATCCACCAAACTTTTTCCTGAAGTATCCAGGTAAGAAAAGTTGGGGGAAGATGCTGATGAATGATAAGATTCAGTTGTGAGTGATTGTTAACAAGGTTAAGTGTGGTTGTTCAATTTTGTCATCCTTCTGGGTATACAATGAGTGTGCTCAGAAGTTGGGGGAAGTAAAGGAGGAGGGGATTTCACTATCATCAAGGAAGAAGAACCAGGAGGGGAGCATGTCCTTTGGACCCTGAGATCCCTGTGCACTGAACCTTCCTGACCCAGGGCGAGAATGCTGTAACTCTGGAGCAGTGGTAGAGGAACTGCTGCAGCAGAACCCAGAGTCAAAGCATGAGACACTGGGGGACTTCCTGGTGCATGAAGCCAGTAAAATGAGTGTTTTTGGGCACTGGCTCATTTGCAGAGTAGGGTAACTTCAGGCACTTAATTGGAGAGCTAGGTGTGAGTGCCTTCAAGCTGAGGATGAAGCGGAGTGCAGTGCCCTTTGGGCATTTTTCAGCAGTACTAAAAGTACTTGGTAGCATTATCTAGCAGGGCAGAGGCCAGGCCAAGCAGACAAGGGCTAAAAAGAGGCCTGGGTACAATAGAGAAAAAGCTGTCTTAGTGGAAGTACTGCACCCTGAACATTTCTTACCTTAAATTGTAACTTGTTAACTTTCCTAACAAACCCCCTAACTGTGAATATGGTGCCTGAGTTCTGTGTGACCACTGCAATTTTATTATCGAACCCAGATGAGACGTACAGGCTGCATGGGAGGGATGGTTAGTGCCTTTTTTACATGTCCCTACAGAATTAGGAATACAGCCCCTTTGGCATGGGGGTATGTGTGACGGCAGGCCTGTGATCCCAACCTGGGCTCCACCCTCTGCATGCATACCTGCTAGCCTCTCCAGCCATGAACTCCAGCACAGGTTGTTACAAACAAGGCCATACTCGCCGGCTGTACAATTTAATCAGTGCAGATTATTTACAGAAATAAACATGGGGGTGGGCACGGAGCCCCACCATCCCTGGGCTGGCCCTTCAGGAAGGTGGAGGTAGGGAGGGAATTTGTGGAGGTCCAAACTCAGAGCCAGTCCACGAAGCATCTGCCCAGTGGGGAGAGTCTGGTGGGATGCTGGGTATGTGCTGGGGGCTTGGGGAGCAGAGTAGACTGAGCCTGGTGTACAGTACCATTTCCCACAGCAGCCTTGGCTTCCTGCTGCCTTGGGGAGGAAGAGGAAGAAAACATCTCTGCCCTCAGGGGCATGGCCCTTCATGGCCACACCTATGGGGGCTCCACAATCCCATTCCAAGTTGTGTGGGGGACAAGTTCCTGGCCTCTCTCCACCACATCACTCCTTCTAGTCCCCTGGGAGGATAGGGAGCAGGAGGGGAGGGACTCCAAGTCTGGTGTATGATGGGTTGTAGACCTACATCACTCCAGCCTCGGTACCAATCAGTTCCCTCACTCTCAGGGGAGCTGGAGCCTGATGTTGGCAGAGCTGGGGCCCACAAGGACAGGTGTGGATGGCAGTGGGCAAGAGGAAGCTCAGGGAATGAGCCCAGGTTGCTCTAGCTCAGAGGAGAGAAAGTCAACAGGGGGCTTGAAGCCCAGCTTTAGGGGCTGGATGCCACCTCTTGGGGGAGGGGCCTTAGAGACCCCCTTTGGTCCTTGGTAGGGCAAACCCAGGGCCCCGACTCCAGAGAGGGAAGGAGGTGTGGCTCAAGGGGTACCTGGGAGTTGCCAGCCCCTCAGCTGGTAGCGGTGGGGAAGGATGGGTTTCTTAGGCACAAGGAGCCAGGCTTTCTGGGGTTGTCAAGGTGACTTTGGAAGGAACCTCAACAAGAACTCCTCCCTTCACCACCTCAGCCCAGGGCTGCCCCTGGTGAAAGCTTGTTCTAAGGCAGGGAGAGAGGCAGGTGAGTGGAGACCTCGCCAGTCTCCACAGCAAACCAGGCCACCACTGTGGCTCAGCTGAGCAGGGGCCAGGCCTCCCTGGTCTCCCCCAACAGGTCCAGGCTGGGGAGCACCTTGTCAGCTCTTCGTCCACTGTCCCAATACAGGCCTTCTGTCCCTCCTCCTCTGGCTGGGGCCCCACCTTTGGGTGGGAGCCTCATGCTCCGTCTGGAGCAGAATTACATTTAGAAAACTCTAAATGCTCTGCCTTAAAGGACTGAGGGGCCACCCCTGCTCAGGAAAGTGGAAACAAATGCTTAATTAGTATGCCAGGAAAAAAAAAGAAAGAGAAAGGATACCTGGGCATAAATAAACAATGGGGGCAGGACGGGTGGGGGATGTTTGAGGGTCCAGAGGGGCCCCCGTCCAGGAGCAGAAGGGAATGCTCAGGCTCTTGCTGGGATGCCCCATAGAGCCATCTAGAACTGCAGGCTCCGCCCTACCGGGCCCCTAGCACCAAGAGAGCAGGCTGCGGCAGGCAGTCAGACCCACTCCTGTAGGGAGCGCTTGCAATAGAGGAGCATGCGCGGTGCGCCCTTGCGTTGCATCTGCACCAGTGCGTAGGTGAGGCCCAGAATACAGAGCAGTAGCAGCAGCGGCACCAGGACCATCACCAAGTTTACAGTCCGCGCCACCTCATCCATCTGCACTACCACGCGGCTGTCCCCGTCCTTGTCTGCCCCAGCTTCGAAGTCCCCCTCCCCGCCGACAGGCCCCGCCTCCTCGTTGTCCTCGTTGTCACCCCCTGCCCCAGGCTCCGAGCCCCCGTCGGGGTTGAAGGGCGGGCGCGCCACGTCGGGCCATCGGGGGCCGGGTTCCACGTGCTCCTGACAGCCCATGAAATCCCGCAGGATGGACTTGGGGTAACCGGGCTCCATTCGCAGGCGCTCATTGTCAAACTTCCAGTATTTGGTGCCCTTATAGAAGTAGGTGTAGGCTGCAGGGACAAGCAGGAGGGGTGGGGTCAGGTTGGGTCCACCCACAGCCCGGAGACACTCCAATTGGACCAGAATATGTGGAAGGGGCCTTGGCTTTAAAACACCCTCTTTTCATCTACTTTCCTGAACACTTAAAAATTCTCACTTCCTACTTGACAAGGATAAGGCTGAGGCTTAAGAGTGGGGTGGGGTTTTGGTCAAGACCACGATTATTAGAATCTCAGGCTCCCTGGCCCAGGTGGACACAGACTACCCTCCCAGAAGGTCCAAAGCTCCTATCCAGCCTGCTGGGCTGGGGGCTGTGGTCACTCTGCTACCTCAGTGGTTTCACTGAGCTCAAGGCCACTAGGCCATCTTGCAGTGGACCTGGCGTGATGCCTGGCCCTGCCTTGGCACCCTGCCCAACTTCCATCCACATTGGGGAGGGCCGAGTGTGAATCACGGTGCTGTTTGGAGCAGCTGCAGTCCGTGGGACAAATGGGAACATGAGCCAACAAGCAGGGTCCCCCTGAACCTGAGCCCCAGACTACCGGAGAAGCGCAACACAGCCACAGCTGTCTATTGCTGGGTGACAGGTGGGACGTGGGGGGCACCCTAGAAGCCTCTGAGTAGGCTCATCTACAGGCTCAGGGCTTCCTCAGGGCTGCCCAGGGATGGAATCCTGGCTCCACAGTTCCTTAGTAGCTGGGGGAGTGGGCACGTGACTACAACGCTCAGGCTTAGTTTGCCTGTCTGCAAAAGGGGACCCTAACAATGTTGAGAGGATCATGCTTGGGACCCTCCCAGCCCAGAGCCTGACACAGATGTGTCCTCCCCTTGAACTCCTGGACTAATGGTGACCTCGTGCAAGTCTCGCCTGTCCCCTTGGTGAGTGTGTGGGATATGGTGAGTCCTTGGCAAGCTGCTACCTGCGTCGTTGCTCAGGAAGGCCCCTTTGGGGGAAATGGGGATCCCCTTCCAGACACTGATGGGCTTGGGGTATCCGGGGTCTCCATGCTGGGTTTCCTCATTGAATCGCCAGTACCTGTGGCCAAAAGCAGCCAGCTGTGGATCTAGAAAGGTTGCTTGGGCCCAGTGCCCAAGCTCTTTCTGGGTAGGCCTGAAGGTGGGGGCGGTGAAGGAGGAGCATGTTGCTCACCTGTCCTCCTGGAAAAAGAAAGTATGGCCTGTGGGTTCCCACCAGATGGCCGTGTCAATCCGGTCATAGGGGATGCCCAGGCCATAGCTGGTTAGCGGCTGCGGGTAGCCAGGTTCCAGGTTGGCTTCTCGGAAGAGCCAGTATCGGTCACCTATGGGGAGGGCCGGAGACGGTGTGAGGATTAACTTCTCTGAGGGGGTCTGTGTGTGGGAGGGAGCACGGGGAATGCTATTGTGGGCCCACAAGTCCATTCACATCCATTGCTACACAAGCACACACACACATTGATAACCGCATGCTCATGATGACATTCAAGTCTGAGAACTCACTTGTGCAACACACCATCTCAGTTATCAGAGATACCCGTGACATATTCATTTACACGCACAAGACACCCGCTCACACCTAGTCACACACACTCTGTCACACTAAAAGCAGGTCTTTACTCCCATGTGGAACGGACTCCTCCTATGACTCCTCCTACTCACAGTTCTTATACAGAGAGTGGAGGGGGGAATCATGCTTGGTCCCTGGATCTAGAGGCTATGCCCCTAGGGTTCCCCACTTTCAGTGAAACAGTCCTGTCCTCAAGGACTACCTGCCTCGATGGGGCTCAGGCTAGCAGGAGGCCTTCCGCAGAGAGGCAGCTGGTAGACGGCTCTGAGACCCTCAGCAGACTGAGAGAATTTTCATGAGGAAGGGGCTGCAGGAAGCCACCAGAACAGGGCAGAGGCAGGAGGCAAGAGTGGAGGGAAATGAGGCAGAGCCGCTGTGCTTTAACGGGACAGGCTTTAGCCCCATCAGAGCTGCTTCTGGTCTCCATAGTCCCAGGTGGTCCCTAGTCCCCGATCTCCCCAGCCCTGCTCCCCCTCCCGGTATGAGCGCACAGTGGGGGGCTCAGGATCCAATGGGCATAGGAGACACACACTACAGCCTTCCTCCCTCATCAGGACCAGAAGGCCGCGTTACAGGCCAGGCCTGGAAGGCAGCTCACCCCTGCCCCAGCTCACCCTTGAAGAAGACAAAGCGTCCGTCCTGGCGCTCATAGGCAGCACTGATATCACTGGGCAAGCCACGCCAGAAATGCCCTATGGGCATAGGATAGTTGTCCAGGACTCGGTTGTGCCGGACCCGCCAGAACCAGCGGCCCTGTGGAGAGACTTGGCGTGACTGAGAGAGCTCTGTCCTCAACTAGTCCCTTCCTGGGTCAGGGGAGATATGAGGAGGCCAGTGAAGTGTGAGGAGGGTCTTAGAGAGCCAGGGCTGGGGGCATGGCACTAGGGCCTGTGGTGGGACCCTGGGTGAAGCAAGGCTTTGCGAGGGTTGGTGGGTGGTCTACTGCCTGAAACAGGTCAAGGGACTGGGGAGGCAGGGGAAGGAGCCAGGACCAGACCTTGAACACGAACATCTCCCCACGCAGCACGGCCACTGTGTCGAAGTCCCCATCGCAGATGTTAGGACCATACTGCTCAGGCCGCTCTGTGGCGCGGGGCTGGGCTGGGGGAGCCGGCTTTGGAGGCCTCTCTGGCTTCCCGCCTGGGGGAGGTGGCTGGGGAGGTCGAGGGGGTTGGTGGTCTGGTCGGCCTGGCCTCCGAGGTGTCACAGTGGGGAGGGGTCGGGTGGGCTGTGGCTGACCATCAGGAGTGCCTGCAGGTAAAAGAGGAGGTAAAGGGGAAACCCCAGAACTCAGCCGGTCCTTCTCAGAATGCTGTGACGCAGGTGCCTCTGGCCTAAGAAACCTGGGAGCTGAACCAGGTGAGAGATACCTCCCCTACCTGCCACTATCCTAGCCCAAAGGGACTGGATCCTCCTTCACACAGCCCTCCAACCCCCACGCTGGGCTGTCCCTGCTTCCAGTTCTCCTCAGGGACATTCCCCTCAGGAAGCTCTAGAAAACAGGGGACATCCAGGGCAAGCACCCTGGACTCTGCCAGGTGACCATTCTTCTCAACAAGGGGACCTCTGTCCTGGCCCAGACAGAACATGGGACTGCCCCACCCCACAGCCCTCAGCATGAAGGCTTTCTCCCTTGGCTGCACCTGCCTCCAAGTCCCAGGGAAATGACCAAGCAGTGAGTGGAGAGCCTTTGACAGGTGCAGGTGGGGAGGGACACTGAGATGACGTGGTCCCGGGATCCCTGGGACATCACTGTAAGGTCAGACACCACTGAGGAGGAAAAGAGGTCCTTCGAGGGCCTCACCCTGGAGTCACAGTGAGGGACAGGCCCTTTCTGGGCTGGATGTCCAGCACCACCATCTACTCACCATGTGATGTGGGCAAGTCCAGGCCTCAGTGTCCTCATCTACAAAATGGGATAGTGGCAGGACTAATGCTGCGTAGGGCTGGGAGGGGGTTAGCTGGGAGCTGCGTGTGGTGTCCACCGCTCACCATAGAGCTGCTGAATGCCCCGGAGGTCGTCCTCGGGTAGCTGGAAGTTGTCTGTGTCCATCCATTGGTAGAAAGGCGCCATGATGGCGCTGGGATTGTTTGAGTGCTCCAGTCCCAGTGCATGGCCCAGCTCGTGCACTGCCACCAGGAAGAGGCTGTTCCCTGTGGTGGAGACAGGCAACACAGTCAGCCCTGGCCCATCCTGGGGACCCAGCCACCCCAGAGAACCTCTGGGCTGAGGCTGCCACAGACAGGGCTTGCCCTTGCTTCATTCTTGGAAGTGGTAGAGCTGTTGTGACTTCCTGGCTGCAGTTTACCCATTCTGAGAAATGGGTACAATGATCCTTTCTTTTTTCTTACCACTCCCTTATGCAAACAGATGGATGCCTAGTGCTCATGCTCCAGAGAAGCACACAGGGCAAGCTCGCCCCTCCCAGCCCTGCAGCAAGTGAGCACCTTCTGCCCCAGCCCTGGCCAATTTTCCTCACCATATAGATCAGTACTGGAGAAGGTCCATGGTTCCTCTGCATCAAAATGGGTGTCTCCGCCCAGGCCGGGCCCAGGGAAATAGGCATGGGCCAGAAAGCCACCTGTGCCGTCAAAGGGTGAGCTGTCACCGTGGAAGCCAGAGGCAAACAGTACCATGATGTCAGCCTCCTTCTGCCGCCGCATCCGGATGTCCTCATAGGGCACCTCTTGGAAGACCAGGGGCGTGGCCTGCTCCCACACACGGAAGGCCTTGCGCACTGCCTCCAGTGAGTGGTACCAGCCCAACTTTTCTGTGTAGTTCTGGATGCTGCAGGTGGACAGGAAGACAAGGGGCACATGTCCCCAAGGAGTGCACATAAGACATGAGGTGGCACATGGACAAACCAGCTGTTACCACACTAACTTAATAGAAGTGTTCTCATAGGGTTTCTAATGGCTGTGAGCTTTCAGAAGTAGATCTCCAGGTCTACTCTCTAAGCCACCTCTGGGAGCACCTGAAATTGCCTGCCTTTTGGTTAGTAGCTAAGCGCTTCACTGTTTGAGCCAGCCAAGTGGCGGGGTGCATCGACAAGAACCCATCAATATCAACTGTTGGTTAGTTTGACATGATTTTAAAAAACAGAGTTAGCATGTCAAACCCCATTTATTAAGATGTCATTAAATAAGGTGTTGCAAATACACTTATTTTAAGAAAAATGTTAATACAAGTACAGGTGACTATGTGGCCTAGGAAAAGTTCTAGAAAGTAGGATGTAAATGTCTGAGGTTTGGGAAACAGTTCTGAGTGTTGGGTTCCAGGGTCGAGTCCTGACTCTGACAGGATCTACGTGACCTCCAGCTTCTTCATCTGTAAATGGGGTTTCTGGGAAGATGGAATGAAAAATCACTCACGTAGAACACGTGGCACACAGCCTGACACACAGCAGTGAGATCAAGCCTGCTAAACCCATGCTAATAGCATTAAGCTCCTGAGCCCTGGGCATATGGCCATTAAACATGATGGGTGTGTTTCGGCTGCTTGACCCATTAATTCACTTTGGGGCCTGGCGTCAACATGACTACAGCAGCAACTTTTCCTCAGGGAGATGGAGGCGGTGGCTGCTCTGGAAGGGTGAGGGGAGCCTCAGTTTGCAGGGGGCTCTTGCCAGATGACTCAGCAGAAAGAGAAAAGTGCCCAACACCATGGTATCTGCTGCCTGCCTACCTGGCAGATGTCTGGATTTTCACAGCCCTCCCTCCAGCCTTTTGCAAATGCCTGAAACCGGGAGTCCCTGGGTAGTGCAACCCGTTAAGAATTTGACTATGCTCAAACAAAAGGTTGGTGGTTTGAACCCACCCATAGGCGGGCCCAGTGATCTGCTTCCCAAAGGACGCAGCCTTGAAAACACTGTGGAACCGTTCTACTTTGTACACACGGTATAGACACAAATCAAAATCAACTCAAAAGCAGCCACAGCAGCTACACCTTGTTGTTGTTGCTAGATGCTGTCGAGTGAGTTCTAACACTTTGTGCAACAGCATGGAAGACTGCCCAGTCCTGCAGCATCTTTACAATCATTGTTGCCATGTTTGCGTCCATTGTTGCCACCACTCTATCAATCCATCTTGTTCATCGAGTCTTCCTCTTTTTCACCGACGTTCTGTTTTAACAAGTGTGATGCTCTTCTCCAGGGACTGGTCCTTCCTATTAGCACATCTAAAAGACATGAGATGAAGTTTCACCATTCTTGCTTCTAACGAACATTCTGGCTCTACTTTCTTCAAGACAGATCTGACTGTTCTTCTGGCAGTCCATGTTATAGTTAATATTCTTTGCCAGCACCGTAATTCAAATGCATCAATTCTTGGGGTTTCCATAGTTATTGTCCAATCTTTCCATGCATATGAAGTCACTGAAAATGTCACAGCTGGGTCAGGAGCACCTTGGTCCTCAAAGTCACATCTTTGCTTTTTAACACTTTAAAGAGGTCTTTTGCAGCAGATTTGCTCAGTGCAACCCACTGCTTAATTTCTTGACTGCTGCTTCCATGTGTGTTGATTGTGGAACCAAGTAAAAATGAAGTTCTTGACAACTCCAACCTTTTTCCTGTTTATCATGATGTTACTGATTCATCTAATTATGAGGATTTTTGCTTTCATTATGTTGAAGTGAAATCCATGATCTTCATCAGTAAGCGCTTCAAATCCTCTTGACTTTCAGCAAACAAGTTTTGTGTCATGCATATCACAGGTTGCTAATGAACCTTCCTCCAATTCTGATGAACATTCTTATATTCCAGCTTCTTGGATTATTTGTTTAGCATACAAATTGAGTAAATTTGATGACAGGCTACAACTCTGAAACACACACTTTTCCCATGCCTTAAACAATGCTTAAAGAAGGAAAAAAAAAAGGCCCTCTACTATGAGGGTCCACAGTTTGGACAACACAGAACCCCATCTTGCCTGGGGGAGTCTAGTCCTGGGAGGCTGGGGAAGGAAATACACCAAGGGGAAGCCACTAGAGGGGTCTCCAGAGGAAGAGACTAGTAGGGTGTGGGGCTGATTTCCTCAGCGTGGGAGCTCCACAGGCCACCCCGGGGTGCCCTGTTGTGAAAGGAAGTCTTCCAGACAACATGGCTGGGAGCTGGAGCCTCATCCCAGGTGGGGAGGGGGCACGAGGCTCTGGGGATGCCCCTCCCTAGTCAGCCAGGCCCCTACCTGAAGGTTAGGTGATAGGTGTTCCACTTCCTCCCGGTGAGGGCATAACGCTTCCTCCGCCGTCGCAGGTTGGCCTTTACACGCACCCCAAACTGGTCTGGCACCCCACAGCGGGGCCGTTTCATCCACCTGGGAGGGAGTAATAAGCAGAGAGCCTCCACTGGACACCCTGCCCACTTGGGCTTTGCCTCTTCCAGTCTGTCTTCCTTCTTCTCCCCACCCCATCCTGCCTCTGGCTGAGGAGCTGCCCTCATTGGAGTGTGGTCATCCAAGAATAGGGGAGTATTTCCAAGGTCTCAGGTCCTTGATAGTATGCTCTGGGCGTTCCTTTCAAGGATGTGAGGTGTCCCCATCACCTGTTAGATTCAGAGCAAGCTTGGCTAGGTAGTCCCCTCCAGAGCACATGTGCTGCACCTCCCCATTGCCATACCTGTGGCAGACAGCACTAATCAATTATTACACTCTCTGCCTCAGGAGATTCCACCTCAGGCTTCAGGCTTCAGGCAGACACTACTGACCAAAGAGCACTGGCACAGAGGATGGATCCATCTGTCATTTATTATCTAGGACTTTCTGCTGTGAAATTTCCTTCCACATGCCAAGCCCTGGGTTGATGCCAGTGGGGTCTGGGAGGGGCCCGGAGGCAGGACTCACGCCTTGGTTTCTTCATCAAGCAGGCCCGTGACGGGTATTCCGTAGAAGCGCTGCATCTCAGCCAGGGCTGAAGCCAGGATCTGGGCGGAGCGCATGGTGGACATGTGCCGGCTGGGCTGAGGCAGGTAGCCATAGAGACGCAGCCAGTTCTGCAAAGAAGCTTCAACTCAGTGTGGGCAGGACCAGGCGCCTCCAAACAGTCTGACCACGGCTCTCCACCTCCAGCACCATCACCCTCTGAATGGCTCTGCCTGCTTCTACCACCCCTTGGGGCTCTTCTCACACAGGAGCCAGAACAAGTGGCCTTTTAAAAGCCTGCTAGAACCTCCAGTGGCTTCCCAACTCAGAGCAAAAGCCAATTTCTCTCAGCAGCTACAAGGCCCTCATCATCTGCCCGGCACACTCCAGCCTCAGGACCCTTGCATTTGCTGTTCTCCCTGCCTAGAGTGTTCTCCCCCCAGACATCTATACGGCTGATAACCTCATTTTCTTCAGGTCTCTGTTTCAATCTGCCCTTCTCCAAGAAGCTTTCTCTGACACCTATGTCAAAACAAAGCGTCCCCTCCAATCTTGCACTCCCTCTTCTCTTTTCCCTAAGTTATCACTTGCTGCAGAGTCCTGGTGTGGCAGTGTAGGATATGCACTGGACTGCTAAGCATAAGGTTGATGGTTCAAACCCACCAGCTGCTCCTTGGAAACCTTGAGTCAGAAATGACTTGATGGCACTTAACAACAATCACTACTGCACTTGGGTGGTACAATGGTTTGCTGTTACCCTAAAGGCTGGCTGTTCAAACCCACCCAGTGGTGCTGTGGAAGAAAAGCTTGGCAATCTACTTCCATAAATATCATGACCAAGGAATCCTGTGGAGTGATTACAAGCTGTCACATGGGGTTGCTATGAGTTAGAACCAATGTAACAGCAATAGTTACATTGTTTAAAATTGACTTGGAAGCATTGGAGGTTCTGTGGTTGAATTTTAGGCTTCTGTGTGGCAGACCTGCTGGTGCAATGGATTAAGCACTGGGCTGTTAACCTCAAGGTCCACAGTTCAAACCACGAGCTGCTCCTCAAGAGAAAGATGAAGCTATCTGTTACCGTAGATTTAGTTCAGAAGCTCCTAGGGTCGGGAGAGACCCTCTGGCAGTGGAATGGGGCATTCACTTCCCAACCAATGCACCTCCTCCTGCGCAGCCCCGACGCATCTGTCAATGGGGGTTAGTGTGTCACTATGATGTGGAGCAGCAGAGCTTCCAGACTAAAACAAACTAGACAGAAAGGTCTGACAATCTCCTTCTGAGAATCAGCTCATGAAAACTATACAGATCAAAATGGTCTAATCTGCAATCAGTCATGAGGGTGAGCATTTTGTTCTGTGATACATGGGGTTGTCATGAGTCAGGGGTGGGCTCCACCACCACCATTTCTTTATTGTTTGTTTCTCCCCATTCAAACAGGAACTGAGCTTGCCGGCAGGGGGGGTGGGTCCAAAGGCGCTAGACTTATTACAGCGCTGGTTTCTCAGGGTAGGTCACCTACTGATTCAGTCAGTCCTGCCCAGACCCTAAACCCCGGGGGAGAACAGTCCAAGAGGGCATGACACTGGACTACTAGCCACAAGGTGAATGGTTCAAACTCACCAGCTGCTCCTTGGAAACCCTATGTGTCAGAACTGACTTGGCATGAAGTCTCTTCCTACTCTGCCACAAACTCTTTTCCCCCTCAGGGCCTCAGTTTCCTCGTCCTGGAAGAGTTTCTGGTGGAGGGTGGAGTGGTGGTGATTGAGGGAGATAATCCTGGAACAGGCACAATAGATGTGGCTACCCCTTCCAGAGCTTGTTGGACTTGTATCCACCCCCCACCCCCACTCACCCCGTCTGTCCACCCAGCCAGTGTTTGCTGAGCAGCCTCTCTGTACTTGGAACATGGTAGCTGGTACCACAGGGACCACGCCGAGGCATCTTAACCTAGGACCTACAGTCTTCCCAGGGAGGCCCTGCACACCCACATCTCAGACACAGGCACGAGACTGTGAACTGATCTGACTGTGGTGGTCACAGCAGAGGCTGGGACTCCCTTCAGAGTTCCAATGAGCCACACTCAGCCACACCCACCTCACACCCTCAAGGCCATGAGCAGAGGACAGGAGCTCCTCTGGGTCTTGGTCACATGCAAGTGTGTCCTTGGAACTTTTCTTTGCTGATCCTGGGTCTCTGGAGGCTTGCTATGAGGAGACCCAGAAGGCAGGGGTTGCACACCACGAACCCATGAGAAAGCATGTTGGAGGAACATGGTGGCTGCTCTGCTTGGCCGGCCACCAAAGTCACATCCAATTCCCTGGGCACTTATTCCATCAGTGCCATCCGAGAGTCCAGCCCTGGCACCTGGCCAGGCCTCCAGTGTGGACAGTCCAGCTTGTAGCACCCAGGCTGCCGATGGAAGGAGCAGCTGCTGAGCCAAGAAAGACAGGGCAGAGAAACTGTCAGACTGGAGCCCAGCCACAGCTGTCATGCCCCTCAGGATTCTGGGAAATAGCCACAGAGCAGTGAGCAGAGGCGCTGTGCTGGTAGCACAGAGGGCTGGGGACAAGTCTCAGCCCAGTCATTTCTGAGGTGTGACTGCGTGCACACCCAGAGTCCATCAGCAGCACCACGGGGTTGTGTTAAGACCTGCCTCTGCTCCCGGGTGTCTGTGAGGATTACATGGGAAAGTCCACATCAGCCTGGCACTGGGCTACACGGGGAAAAACCAATCCTGTTGCCGTTGACTCAGCTCCAAGTTAGGGTGACCCTGTGTTACAGAGGACAAGTGTGCCATAAAGTCTTCTGGGTTGTAATCTCTATGGAAACAGATGGTCAGGGCTGTCTTCTCTAGGGCTGCTGGTTGGATTTGAACCACCAATCTTAGCAGTTGAGCACAAGCCATTTGCACCAGCCAGGGATCTTTGGGCGGAGAAATGGCGAATAAATGCATTAGTAATGACTTGAATTTGGTGAGACAGGAAGACAGAGATGGAACTTGGTTGTGGGAAACTTGGCCTCTACCAGCTGGGGTGGGAGGAGGGCCCTGACTTCACACCACTGCCCGCTGGCCATGTCCCTGGTGAGGCCAGACCCATGGCCTCTGTACCCACCCTCCCAACCTCCGTGCAGAGGCCCAAGCCTCCTTTACTCAATTCTTCCTGATAATGTCATGGAGACCGTGTCCTTCCTGGGATGGGACACCTTACGGCTAAAGCTCCTGTGGGTGTGGGTGTGTGTGTGTATGCGGGAGGTGTACTGAGGGTCAGGGGTTGGGGGTTCATCACCCTTAAAGGAAACGGTTTTCCTGAAGACACTTGGACATACCCAGAAAGGAAGGCCACGATGAGCGGACAGCTCTAACAGGCCAAAAGAATCCAGCCGGAGAGGGGAGGGGAGCTGGCTCATCATGAGGGCACCCCGACATCACCTATTTACATAAAGTAAAAATATCTGGGAAGCACAATCACAGGCCACCAAGGGGCTGATTAGCTGTGGCTGCAAACGACAGGGATGGGGAGGAGAGGCGGGCTGGGGCCCTGGGGAGTGGGGCGGGGAGCTGGGCTGTCTGCTGTGAAGAGCTCCTAAGCCTGGGCAGTGGGGCCTCTCCAGTCCTGGGGGGAGCCTGTGGACCCTTCTTCCTGACCACTCTGAGGCCTTAGAAAGCTGAACTCTTCCTCCGCAGGACCTGTTAAGCTTTGAATCCTCAATCACTGCTAGGGAGGAGAGGCAGAGACTGTGAGAGGCTGACCTCTGGGCAGTGGTGGGGCTGGGGGACCACAGAAATAGCCTTAGCACCAAATGGCGGAGCCTCTGCATGGCGAGGCCAGGAACCCGTTGAAGTCTGCCTGCTGGCAAATGCCTGCTCAGGGTACCTGAATGCCAAGTGCCAGGCAGTCTGCCGGAGCAGTGTCAACCACTCACCCCACCAGGCCTGTGGGCTTCCTTCCCCCGGCCCCCTGTGTCTAGTAGGAAGTTCCCCGTGACCCTACTGCTGTGCTAACTTTACCTGGAAACAGCATGGGGTCAGGGGCACAAGTGCATGGCCTAGGCGAGGGGAAGTAGCCAGGCTGTAAGGGATGAGAGGGGTTCTCAGTCCCAGAGTGGGAGGTAGGGTGGGGTGGGGGTTGTTCCTTACATCACACAGATGAACCACACAGGTGGTACTTTGCTTCTCTGGTGGGGAAACTGAGGCTCAAAAGGTCAGTAAATAAATGGCAAGGATTTGAACTAGCACTTGGTTTCCTCCTTCACCTCCTCCTTTTGGGGGACCAGGGTCCAGTAGGAGACGGGGCTCTGGAGAGGCTCTGAGGCCCCTCCCACCTGCAGCTCAGGATGGGGCTGCTACAGGAGATGGGGCCCTTCAGGGTTCTCTTGGTCAAGCATCTCTTGAGCTCCGGATCCCATACTAGAAACATGTCTCCAGGATGCACGGGATGAATCTCTGGCCTCAGACAAGGAGACAGGAGGTCTGGCAGATTCCATCAGACAGATACAATCATTCTCAGAGACAGGAAAACAGACGCAGCGTCAGTGTCCAGGAGAATCTGCTCCTCAGAAGAGACCACGAGGGGCTGAGAGCCTACTGAGGGCCAGGTCCTCCATCGGTCACCACCCTGTAATGCTCACAAAGCAAACCCACACGGTTCCCACTCATAGTGGGAAAAAGCGATCCAATAAGACAGAATAGACCTGCCCAACTGAGTCTCCCAGGCTGAAATCTTTAAGGAAACAAACTCCCACATCTTTTTTCCTGAGGGCTAGCTAGTGGGTTTGAACAGTTAACCTCTTATTTAGCAGCCAAGCAATTAACCACTGTGCCACCAGGGCTATTTTAATGTTCACCGAAACCCAAACCAAACCCAGTGCCATGGAGTCCTTTCCAACTCAGTGACCCTATAGGATGGAGTAGAACTGTGCCATAGGGCTTCTGAGGCTGTAAATCATTCCAGAACAGTCTCGTTCTCTCCTGCCCCACCAGGGCCCCTTTCGATGCTCACAACCATTCCTAGAAGCCATTCCCATTCTCAGAGGGTGAGAGTCCCCTCAGGTCACATGGCTGGTCTGGGACTGAACTGGGCTGAGCGGGGCTGGGGATACAGGACTCAGGCCCACCTCAGGGAAGGTG